GGAGAAGCCAGTCAGCGTGGGGAGCGTGGCTGGAGGCGGTCGCTACGACGGGCTGGTGGGGATGTTTGATCCCAAGGGACGGAAGGTGCCCTGCGTGGGCGTCAGCATTGGGATCGAGCGGATCTTCTCCATCCTAGAGCAGAGAGTGGAGGTAGGTGCCTTTGGTGCTCAAATAAGCATGGAGAAAGAGCAAGGATATACAGGTTGGATGGGGCTTTGAGCAGCCCAGTCCAGTGAAAGATGTCCCTGCCCACATCAGGGGGGGTGGAAATAGATGATTTTTAATGTCTCTTCCAACCCAAACCATTCTGTGATCTTCCCTATGTACCCCTCAGTCCAGCAGATGCTGAAGTGAGTCTTCCTTGCTGCAGTCTTTGATGGACAAACCAGCCAGGCCTCTGCTGTGCTCTGCAGCAGGAGTCAGAACCAGGACATAATAAATGATCTTCTCTGGCTTGAGAGATGATCTCTGGGGCTCCCACTGGGGGTAAGACCCCTCTTCCAGCAGCCCTCAGACATGGCTCGTTCAGCTGCAGCTGGAGGCCGCACTTTAATCCTCAGCAGCACCAGGTGCCCAGGTCAAATGCCTCAGTGTTCCCCACTGCATTCTGCATCTGTGGGACCCCACGTCCTCCTTGGCAGGGAGACAGCAGCCTCTCACATCTGCCCATCCTGCCCAGGGCACCACAGAGACCAGATGGGATGGGATGGGATGTCCCAGGGCAGGGAGTGTGGTGTCTCTGAGGTGTTCCCAGACAGCTCTTTCCTATTCTGTGCTCCTCAGAGCTGTTGTACCACTGTGTTGTCCTCTGTTCCAATCAACGGGTGTTAAATGGGTCTTTGTAGGCTCCCACAGCGCTGCTGCACATTTCCCTCCCCCAGAGGCCCGTTGTGGGGAGTTGTCTCTTGGCAGCCAGACACAACTGAAATTTCTAAGCAGAAACTGAATTCTTCCCCCACCACCTCCAGTCCTGGCCAGGTTTGTTTCTCTGCAGGTGACCTTTTAAAGGTTTCTCCCTTCAGTGAAAGCAGTGGCAGGAAAATGCCACTTTGAGTATCCACCGTTTGCCGTGGGAGCAGGTGGCTCCTGACAGTGCTGGAGCACCTCAGCTTGCTGCTGTTAATCTATCCTGTAGTTACCAGCTCAGCTGCAGAGCAGGCAGCTGCCTCTGCCCAGCTTCTGCTGGGCTTGCTGCTCCTGAGCTGCTTGGAGCAGATCTCTGGGAGGATCCTGAGCTGCTTGGAGCAGGGAAATTGCTCATTCTCAGCACATTCTCAGTCTGTGCGGCCTCCCTGACTCTCCTGAGTTGATGCTGTTCATCCCACTGAGCCTGATCCTCTTCACCACTGAATTGTTATGCCTGAGGTGGTGACCCATCCTGCTCATAGAGTCTCAGATACCCCTCTATGTCCATGGCATCTTTTGAGTCTTTTTACCCTCTCTAGGCCTCTGAGGAAAAGATCAGAACAACAGAGACACAGGTGCTGGTGGCCTCTGCCCAAAAGAAGCTCCTTGAAGAGCGGCTGAAGCTCATCTCCGAGCTGTGGGATGCTGGAATCAAGGTATGACCAGGGGATGACAAAGTCAGGAGCTGCCTGGTCCCCTCTCTGTGCCAGGAATGGACCAGACTTGGCTTTGCTTTGGGAGGAAGGAGTCACAGGGAGAAGGTGGGCAGCAGAGTGCCTTCCTGAACAGAGCCTGCTTCTTTTCAGTGTCTCGAATCGGGTGTTCTCCAGGAAGGGCAGCGTGACTTGGTTACCCCTGTAACACTGCAGGGGCTCCCCTGGCTGTGTCTGTATGTCAGGACAGATCCCCAAAGCAGGCAGCACCACAGCCCCTGCTGTGTGGCAGGGAAATACCATGCTGCTTCCAGCAAAAAGCAAAGAAACCACAGAGCCTTGCAAGGAGAGGAGTGGGGTCAGGGAGGAGGCACCAGACGGCAATTACGAGACTGGCCCAGCCGTGCCTGGTTGCAGGGGTGTGGCGAAACAGGAGGGTGCTGGTGGTGACCTTGTGCTCTGGTTCCCTTCCAGGCGGAAATGCTGTACATTGAACCAGCTGCAGTACTGCGAGGAGACGGGCATCCCTCTTGTTGCCATTGTGGGCGAGCAGGAGCTGAAGGACGGAGTCATCAAACTGCGGGTGGTGGCAACCAGGGAGGAGGTGAGGCCGTGGTAGCTCGGTGTGAGGGGGGTGGCTCCTGGACCCTTCATCCCAGCTCAGGGCAGCCCTCCAGACCCATCCGTACTCTGCTGTGCAGCGCTGCTCTCAGGTTGTACGTGGCAAGGTGGCTTTGCCAGTCCTCACTTTGAGTGTAGTGCCTGAAGGGGAGATCAGAGGAGTAAAGCCCTTCCACCTGATGTGAAGAGCCTCCAAGGCTTAACACAGCTGCTTATGCAGAAGGTGCAATGATGGGAAGACTCCCCCTGTGAGCCAGGGCTGGCAGACTGATGGTGGTGGCCTTGTGGGTGCAATTTTGGAGACTGGGTGAGGCGAGTTTCCTCAGCCCCTCTTGACTTGCTGTGGAGCACATGGCCTGTGTCAGTTTGTCACCAAGCTGCTCCTCAGTTCAGGAGCACGGCAGGGTGATTCAGTGGGCTGTATGACTGCTTGAGCTTTCCTTCCAGGGCTCAGGGCCATCGCTGAAGCTGCACAAGTAGGACCAGTGCTGATCTGTGCACGGGTCTTGACTTTGGAACCAGTAGGAGAGACTGGGAAGAGCATCGCTCTCACAGTTGCTGGGCAGGAAAGGGCTTGCAGGGAGGTGCTTGAGCTCCTGTGTTGCAGCCCACTCGATCCCCATAGAGGGACTGGTGACAGCACCATGGGGTGATCTCGTGTGACACAGGGCCAGCAATGCGGTGGGGGCCATCCCTCAGGGACCAGAGAAGGTCACGGTACGTCAAGCTGCTCGTGATGTACTGAAGGAACTTTGTGTTTCCCTCCTGTGTAGGTCAACATTCGCAGGGAGACCCTGGTGGAGGAGATCAGGATGCGGACGAGCCAGCCTTAAACCCCTTCCAGACACGTCTGCTCGTGTGTCAGATACTGGCTGACAGATTTCCTCCCGTGAATGCCTTCGCCAGGCTCCTTGGCAGTGGTGAGGGGCTGGGGGGAGGGTGCTTTGAAAGCTGTATTTATTCTTGTCTTGTGCCCTCCCTTTGCCGGTGGGAGCAGAGAGGCTGCACCGACCCTTACTACGTGCCCTGGCCCCCCGGGTGTGTTGCTGGGAGGATGTTTTTACAAGTGGCTCTGGCAAACGGAGCCTCCCTGTCTGCTGTCACGGTAACGTGTGGAGCCCGGTGCTGTCAGCAGCCCACGGGGTCTTGGCTGCAGCTTCTTGTTCCTGTCGCTCCGAATAAACGTCCTGTCCCATCTCTCTTCTCTGGCTGCAGGGAGGTGACCTTATCCCAAGCAAAATGTAAAGGCGCTGCTCCCAGAAACATAATAAATCTGTCTCTCCCACTCCGTGCCTCCTTGTTCCTGCTTTCTGCTTGGGGCAGGGATTTACCTCCACCTGCCTTGCTGAGCCACAGCCGGTTTTTAAATGTCACCGTGGACGTTTCTTCAGCTGCAATGCTCCCTCCTTGCCTCAAGATGTGACCGCTGCTGCCAACCCCTGTGCCATGTGCAGAGCAAAGCCCCCTCCAGCCCTGGGTGGGCTCCCCATGCCCTGGCCATGGGTGAAACGTGTCCTGCGGGTGCCTTGGGGTGTCCCCCAGCTCCCCTCATCCAGCTTAGTCTCCCTTTTGCAAAACAGGTTGGTGGAGGGGATGTAAAATAAATCCCACCGGGGTTTCTGGCGTGGAAAAAGGCCGGTGGGGGGTC